GTTGGTGCAGATTGTTTTGTCTCATTTGGATTTAGGGATTGTTTGTTTTTGCCTGGTTGTGTAGACGAAGAAGAGGGAAAGGATGGCAAGGTCAGGACAGATCGCAGCCTTGATTGGACGAGGATAAGACTTACACCTTTGCAGATGAACCCAACGAAAATAGACCTCTCCAGAAATACATTACGGAGACGTGATAGATGGAACGTTTTATTGACTATATGCATAATAATTTGTTTACATTAAGGGTCCATCGTCAGGTTTTGCCTTCATTTGTGCGATATTTAGCTGAGTGATCCTGCTTCCAGCGCACGTCATCGTGCATGTTGGATCGTGTTGGTCAAGGGATCATCCGGCCAGGGGATGGTTCCTGAATCTTCCGTCAGTCATTGTCAGTATGGGGTGGAGCTTTCAACCATCGAGCTCCTCAAACCGATTGCCCTTTCCGTGCCCAGAAACCCACTCCATGGGACCTTGGCGGACTGCCGAGAAACGGCCAGGGGTAGTGGAACGGCAGGAGTCGGCAGATGGGGTGGCTGAAGCCTTCCAGTTATGGAGTTATTCTGGCTTAGAGATGATTACTCCCCCAGAGGATCACAAGGAACCCCACAACATCCCAAAGCACTGGGTTCTTCTCCACTTTTTCGATCTTCACTCGGTCACAGCCTGCACCTTTGATGCCTTCTCTCCGCCGCATGAAACTCTTCATCTCACCGGCGGGGCACAGCTGCGCGGGCCGGAGCGCGAGCGCTCACCAGCGCCGGCGGAGGTGCGCGGCGGGTGAAGAGGGTGGAGGGTTTCCATCGATCAGGAGCAGCCGATAGATCAGGTATATCAGGCTCCGTTCGTTTTTGCACTTGAGCTTCATATACCTCGGATATGTTCAGTAATATGTTGTTCAGTAATTACCTATTATTTTGGTTCGGATCATGTGCCATGTTCTAAGGTAGTTTGTAGGGTCCAGGTCTATAATATATAAATATATATAACTATACACATCATGTTATTATATATATAATTATATACACCTGCGGATTGTTCCGCCGGCCCTTTTGGCCGCAGCGAAAAAGCCAACTTAGTGGTTGTGAGTGCGGTGCAGCGGTGGGACGTTGGCCGAGAAGGGGTGACTGCAAGAGTAGAAGTCAAACTGGATGTGGTCACATGCAGCCAATCCGGAGAAGCAGTGACATTTATGCAGATAAGGGTACAAGGCTGACACAGCAGTAGGTAAAAGGTCTGCTCTGTGCTGTACACATGGCATGCTACTTACTACTCACTACTCCCTGCTCCCTACTTTCTACTTCCAACTTCCAACTTACTACTTATTTACACAGCACGGCAAAGCTAGGGGGCTTCTTTCAATCTTCCATTCTTTCAAGTGCTCACTTCCACAATTGGCTCCTTGATGGAAGCCATTTTCTCACAGTGAAGCCGCGAAGCCCTAGGCTCTCAGAAAGGCATGTCCTCACAAAAGGAAGACAAAGCAACATATGATATGGAAACCAAAAAGTACAAACAAGAGACAGCGCAAACACTAATACTTACATGGGGGGAGGGGGGAGGGGGGGTCAGGTTAGACCGTTCAAAAATCCGCCCGGGGAGCACTGTAGAAAGTCAATTGTAATGAACTTTTCAATCCACTGACTCCACAAACACTTGGAGCGCGTGCCTTTCTTCAGTCAAGCCAAGCCTGATTGTTCTTTGTACAGAACTCGACGGGGGCCTCGTTTTGACATCCAAGAGACGCATTACAGGGCCTTTTTGTTGGCAGCGCACTTGCCCTGCCATAGTAGCTTGTCCTGCTTGTACCATTTTTGTTCTCATTACACATTTTGTCCTCATTCTGTGAAAGCAAATGATTCAAGAAACAATAAGTAAACTGCACACCTGTGCAAATCCAAGGAGAGGTTGAGAGACCTTATAGCCCTGGTCTGTGATAGGTACGGGATGGGCTAAAACAGGGCTGTTCAACCTCTCTTGGATCTTATTCCTGCATCGTGTCCTGTTGTGCCACGCAAATGTTCTGACCTCAAGGACGTTCTGCGCATCAAAGGTGTGGTCAACATCTGCAAAGCACCTGCGAGGCCCATGCTGTTGCTTCACCAGTTTCAATTTTCTCCGGCTGCAGCCCTTGCGTCAGCTGGTGAAGAATGCTCCAGCTGTGTGTGCGCCTGTGAAGATCAGAACTGGTGCAACCATCCCAACACGGCTCGGCCGCAGCATGCTGCAGCATGACTTTTGTGTTTCTTCGTGCCGCCGTGCGTGTTGACCCGTGACTCCTGTGAGGGGCCAGACGTTTTTGGACGGCAGGCAGGTTGAAAGCCTGCAATTGTTCTCGGCCAAGCCATTCGGCTATGCAGATTTGCCCGTTTGGGATACTTTGAACATCTTTGAACCATTTTGAACCTGTGAAAGTTTGCAGGGCATTCGCATGGAAAACGCTGCTCCTGCAGCGATCGCGATCTCGCTTCTTCATTAAACGGTCGCTCTTCGTGGTTTCGCCAGACTGCTAGTGAAACTACTGGCGGGTGTGACCAGTCTACAGACACCTCCTCGGCAACCATCCCGTTTGGAACTTCCTGGAGGCCAAGAGAGCTTAGAAACGACGGCTTGAAGTGAGCGAGCTGTGGGGCTGTGGTTGGTTTGATTTCGGTGCAAACGTGTGTGTATATATAGGGAGACCTCCAACCAATGGGGTTTTGGTCAATGTCAGCTTCTTTTTTTCCAGGTGGTCCTTGGGAGGTCTCCCTAAGTGTCTCCCTATATTTTAATACAAACCCATATTCTGTACTGTTTTACTTGGTTTCAATCCACACCTCTTGCAGCAGAACTTGTGCATGGTGGGAGTTGCTGAGCAAATGAGACAAGTGATCGCGCACGAGAGCATCACGCAGCTTTAAACTGGATTGGAAAGACCAGTTGAACTGCGTTGCAAGTGTTCAGTCTCAGCTTTGCTTCAGAGTGACTGCGAGTCTGTGCTTTTTTCATCCTTGGCCTTGGCATGAGGCATGCGGCACTGGCACTGTTTTCCTTTCCTTCTGGGGGGAAATGCAGCTTTCCGCCGAGCAAAGCTTGAAATTACATGAAATTACAACCCATGTTGTGCGTTGGTCAAGGCTGTGCCTTTCTAACAAAGCTACATAAATAGCAATATGATCATTCACAATATGGCTTTTGGAGCTTCCTATATAACTTATCGTGCCTACATCGCTAGATATCTCAATCCACATGTTCTTACATAGCATGTTCCATTGTTAAGGCACATGACTCGCCTTCGTAGGCTCGCCTTTCTTCCTTTTCTTTTTCTTTGTTTCTAATCTACTCGCGATGGCCTCCAACCTAAAAGCGATTTTGGAACGACATGTGAGACCTCGCTGTTTGCCTCGCCAGGGTGGCTGGGTTTCGCAGAAGTCCGGCGAAGATGCTCGCGAACCAAAACATGCTCATCGTGACCATGCAGGCGTGCTGGAAAAGCACGGCGTTGTGAATTTTCAGGTAGAGCACTGTCCAAGTATATCTACAATGTAATTTGTTTAAACATATTGGTGCGTCATTACCAGGACCAGTCGGTCAAAGATTATCACAGTTTTGAGAAAGGCCTTGGGATAGGCCATCATCATTGACTGTTACTGGTAATGGAACATATCCACAATGTACTATATATAAACTGACTGACATGGGCCATTTTAGTCTATGCAGATTGGTTGGTGGTTGTCAACGCAGGCCTGTCACCGGCACACCGGCTCGGTGTTGGCCCTGCTTGGCAAGGCGTGGTGATGGACAGCAAAGGTGCGTCCAATCGATTGTTTATGACTAGAGTCACTCGAATCTTTCAGCCATCAGCTTCACTCATGTGTGAATAGCGCAGTCGGGTCATGTCGGCTCTTGACAGGAAGCTTGGAAGCTTGTTTGGAACATGAATCTGGTGCAGATGATGGTTCCATTCCCTCCGGTGATCTGTGCGTCTTCGCCGGGCGATCGGTGAGTTGTTGATACTCTGATTGTATTGGTTTGGGCAGATTCTTTTGGCAGATCAGAGCCCAGCCGTATTTTCACCTTGCGGGTGGTCCATGACCTGTAACGGTCGGTAAATAATGATCACTATACAGAGAAAGGCCTTGGGATAGACCATCATCATCCACTGCTACAGTGATTAGGATATACCCCATGTTCACCTTTATACAAAAACAAGCAAACAGTGTGTCTTCTCAGCCTCTACTACCAGATCTACCAGATCCCAATGACATGCCTTTTCCATGGTCCATCAACCAGCCGCTTCTTTGGAGGCTTGTAGCCGTTTGAGCCTTACAGATTTGGCCAATGAGTGTGAAGAGGTCAGGGCCATCATGCAGGAGAAACACCGAAGCAACATCCGCAAGAAATCGCGCGGAAGGGGTGGCGGGCATGGATGGAATAGACAAGAAACAATCTCAAGGCAAAGAGCTTGCACAAGCTGAAAATATGCGGAGGTTGCTCCACTTAACATACGGGTCCAAACATGGAGCAACCTCCATAATTACATTTGTATAGTACACATCGATACCTCCAAACATGGTTGCTCCATCCAAATCCATACGAGCTTGCTCCATACATTGTATGGATTTTCACTCGGGTCCATGGTGTTGACCGGACGGAGCTCTTCCGGCATGAGACCGAGCCCGATGTGTTGAACAGACTGGGCCGAGTTCTTCATGGTCAGACTCGGCAGAACGTGTTTCTTCGGTGGCGTTGGTTCGGGCAAGAAACCATGTCCCGATCGTTTCATATCGTTTCTCCGCTCAGTTTTCGGGTCCCAAACCGCCCAACTGGTCCCAAAGCGGATTGGTTCGACCCCTAGAGATGAAGGTCCATATAGTCGCACGCGGGTGTTCATGGATTTGGAGCTTTTTGTAAATTGTTAAAAACCTCCACCATATGGTTCTCACTTGGTTCACACCCCCCAACAAAAACCGACAACTCGAACCGGGACTCGTACACATGGCGCCCGCAAGGACACCGACACCATGTTCGCCACCTTAAGGGACTCCTCCACGGCCGACCTGTCACAGGTCGTGAGTGGGCGTCGCGTGGCGTCGGTTGACCGGTGGGGGGAAGAACAGGCACGGAAACCGCTTGGTGATCACACAGTGTTGTAGAATTTCTTCATGACTCTGTTTCCGTCAAACTGAAACTCTCAGGTGGGGCATAGGTATCAAAAATAAAAATAAAAAGAGCATCAAAAAAAAATAAAAACAGGATCAACAAAAAAAATAAAAAGCGAATCAAAAAAAAAATATTCCTTGATAGGCCTCTTCTGCTGCTCTCCTGGCCTTTTGGTCTGCGGGTCCTCTGGTAATGTGGTCCCTTGGTCCTTTGGTCCCTTGGTCCTCTGGTCCACTGGTCCTTTGGTCCCCTGGTCCCTTGGTCCTTTAGTCCACTGGTCCCCTAGTCCTCCGGTCTCCTGGTCCTCTGGTCCTGTGGTCCGCTGGTCCCCTGGTATCCTAGTCCTTCTGTCTCCTGGTCCGCTGGTCTTTTGCTCTCCTACGGCGCTCGTCTGTCGATCTCCTGGTCCCCTGCTTGCGCAAATAGAGGCTTGATTGCTTTCTACTAGAGGCAGCTCCCTGGGAAGAAAGTAGGTACCCAACGATAAGGTAGCCGTCCAGTCATTGAGTAGCCCTACTCGAAAAATGGTTCACCAGCTTGGTGAAAAAGACCCTCTGCGACCGCAATGCACCCATTAGAAATAGACTGGTCCACCACATCTTTTTCCTGAGGCGATTCCCATCCAGGCACCTTCCGATGCTGCTACACCCATTCCAAACACTTCTCTGCTCTGAGCGCTCTGACAACGCCATGTAGGGCCTAACTTCGTGTGAACGCCGTGACTACTGCTACTGCTACCACTACTACTACTACTACTCCTCCTCCTCCTGCTGCTGCTGCTGCTACTGCTCTGCTACGCTGGTGCTGCTGCTGCTGCTACTGCTACTACTACTACTACTACTACTACTACTACTACTACTACTACTACT